GAACCAGAGGTCACAGGACAATATAAATGACATATTCTGACTCAACATTGAATGGACGTTCACATACAATCAAAAAATCCCGATTGCCAGTTAGCCAATTCTGTATTGTATTATGACAGTGTTCTTAATTTTCAGCAATATTAATTGAGAATTTTAAATAATTATGAAATCTAATACAGTATATTAATTTTTACTCTTTAAAATTAAAGTCAATATAGAAAAATATTATAATTTAATATAATTTAATAAAGGTACACAGATTTATGCACGTAGGTGATCAACTGTTAGTATTGCAAACCATTTTAACCTAACCAAACCAAACATGACTAAACAATTGTTACCATTACCCTAAACTTCAATTAAGCCAAATATCCAAGTTGATTTAATTCTTGATAATAATTCACCCGGCGGCTAAAAAAATATAACTTTCACAACGACACTGATAATTAATAAAATTAAATTGATAAAATGTGTATTTATGTAATATGAATATTTGTAGATTTCGCGTATCATTTGAAAACGGACTATATATTCACAACAAATTTCAAACCGATATGTTTTTCCCCGGACCTTTGACACCGCCACTGAAAATAAGCAGTTTTTATATGAGCTGGATCACAAGACATACCAGCTCAGTGACATATTAAAAGGGCCCATTTTAATATTTGTAATTTTATATCCCTGGATTTTTATTGTATTTCTATTGGAGTATTGTCAAAAAACCAAAATCAAAAAACTTCAGCGTGTTCATATTAAAAATACAAACCAGGCATTAAGCAAATGTAAACTTGATAAAAACAATAAACATAAAACTAATTTAAAGATCAAGATGAATCACATATCAAATCAAATTAACATAAATGACAAGACTGTGTATCATAATTATAACAATAGATATTTTACATATACATAATGTTAACTTATCTGTTATTTAAAAACTATATAAAGTATATACTGTTAAATTTATTCTATAAATTTTATGAATGAAAAAATGAAATGAAAATGACACGTTATTTAAAGTGCCCGTCCACTCAACTACTGTTGATATTCTGTGGGGAGGACTGAACAACAAACAAACAGATGAATGCCATGATATTAAACAACAAAGTCTTGTGTAATCGTATGTACGACTGACACATACTTGAGTTCAGTCAAAGAAAGCTTCCACTCGGAGGGCTGCGAACCCACGTTCATGTATGCCCTTTGAATTACCAGCCTATGCTGTTTGAACATTGGGCCACTGAGACACTAGTGAAATGAGAATTAATTTGAATATAAACAAAATTACCAATATGATAATTATTTATTGTACTCATGAAAATAAAGTTTATATCTAAATTTATTTAAATACAAATTAAATACTAAAAGGTTATAGTTTACGTGTGCTTGGGTAAGACAATAATTTCTAAAATATTTAATATTTTTGTTATATTATAAAAGTGTTATGATATTATAATATAATGTCCAGTGTGTATTATAATAGGTACAGTAGATAAATAAGTTTATAAGTATATAAATGCCGTACACATATATATTTATAAACTTTTATATAAAATATTTAATATACAAATGTAGAGTTTGAATGATTTCATAATATTTTTATTTTTAGTGTATGTGTGACAGGTATATTCAATCTAAAGACAACGGTTTAGCTTTGAAAACTTAGTAATGGAGATCTAAAGCACGTAAATTAACAACTTACGCATACAAAATATATGAGTAAGATGCTAATTTAAAGCTTTTACTTTACATTACTAAGTGTTCTAAGCTAAACCGTTGTCTTTATATTGAATATACCTGTCACATGTGATATTAATTTAAATAAGATTAATATCACAGGTATAAAATAAATAAATTAAATGCGTAATAATGTTAATAATATTTTTACTACTTATTTATTGTGTTATATTCATGTTTATTGTTGTATTAAATAGGCTACTACTTTTTATTCGGTTAGTACAATTTAATTATTCAGAATTGTAAATAAATATAGTTTGCACGCTATATTTATGTCTAACATTTTACTGCAATATTGCACTAAACAACATTATATAAATTTAATATGAGTACATTCATTGTATATTTAGTAGTAATATACAGCACAGTAATATCATATTATTAATATGTGTTGGGAATTGTTAAAGCATTATTATAAAAGTTAATTGTAAATATTTGAAACGTGAATTTAAAATGTTACACACCCAGTGGGGTCAAGGTGAATGGATTAATTTTTTTTACCACAATTCATTATGTTCCAGTTAATACTACATCAGTGTGTCCGGGCAAAAATGCTACTGATGATATTACTTTGTATTATGTGTAGGAATGAAATAATAATGTAATTAAAAGTGGGTATTATAAATGGTGGCTATGTGTATGACTGTGATTAATACAAAACATATTCACTGTTTTGATCAGTTTTTGATTTTCAATATTTTAATCCTTTATTTCAATTTCGGACGAGAATTCAATTGATAAAACACTCAAACCTTTATTAATCGATGAGAAAATATATTATGAATAATAAAATGTCCTGAGTAATCAACAAAATTAAAGAAAATTGTAATAAATAGTCATTCAATTGTATCAAATGAGTATTTATATAAACAAATATTCATATAAAATGATTATAAAGAATTAATATTTTTGAAAATCGAAAACTGATTAAATGAATGAATGTGTTTTGTATGAATCACATGGATACACTTAGCCCATTTTTAAAAACCCACTTTTTATCCATTTTTCTTGCATTCCTAATTATGTGCCATTTGCAGGGGTAATATGCTTATTATAACAAAACACATTTATCTAAAATTATGATTAATTAAAATTATTATTGTAGTTGGATTTAAAAACTTATTTAATAATTTTAAATTTAAATCAATGCTAATTATGTAAAACTTTATTTGTATAAAAGTCCATGTGTATAATAATAATATACTGTATTTTTATTTATTTAACAGTCACATTTTGTATATTTTGCTTGAAACTGGTCATTTTATACATACTTACAATGTGGATTGCTATTAATGGTCAGATTAATGATCCAAACGGGGTAAGTTATAAATAAAGATTATTTTTAACAAATTATTTCATTAATCTCAAAATAAAATTTAGTTAAGCAGGGGTGTTTCACTACAAAATTTTCATATGGAATACAGATGGGTGCATTTAATGGATTTTATACCAAAAGATCGGATTTATAGTTATACAATATTGACCTCGGTTAAATTACTTGAAAATGGACACTACTTAAATTTCATGTCCGTTTTTGAACTTGAAGTATTTCCCCTTAAATTAATATTGTAAATCACTTTGATCAATAATAATATCTAATTTAGGTTTGGTTTTTAATTGCAACATTGTGCGTCGTAATGGGAATGATCTGGTCAATATTTCAAAAAACTAAACTTGCAAAGGTTCATGCAATAATAGAAGTGCTATCACCGTTATTTAAACAACCTATTAATCGAACTCGACAATATTATCAGTTACTTAAATACACCCAATCGCCAGTATTAAGCTACTATTTATTTATCAGGTTCAGTTTATGGTTCTTAATGTGCGTGTCACTATCAAATTCATTTTCGCAAAAAATAATGACCGGGCTATTTGACACGAAAGTCTACCCTGTTGTAAACTCAATTGAAGATTTAATTTCACGTAAAGATATACGAATTAAATCTGACCATTCTAATTTAACCATGCTTAGATATTTTAAGTCCCAAAAAATATGGAATATTTTAGAAGATAAAATTAAAAATGATCATCAATTGAAGATTTAATTTCACGTAAAGATATACGAATTAAATCTGACCATTCTAATTTAACCATGCTTAGATATTTTAAGTCCCAAAAAATATGGAATATTTTAGAAGATAAAATTAAAAATGATCTGGAATATTTTGATAATTTGAACAAACAACATGGGCTTAGTGATGAAGATCTAGTTAAAGGTATTTCAGCAGGCATATTTATCAGATTTGATATGGAGGGTGTCATTCAAAATATGAGACATACGTACGCGGGCCGGTATCCTAGTTTATATATCGCTGAAAATAAATATAATTACGATCCGCAAGCACTTAGTATTGGTCGCAAACATTCAAAATATCGTGAGATACTTAGGGCGTATGTATACAATTGAAAAGTTATTATATACGTCTTTTTTTATTAAATATTTTTATGAAAACAGATAAATATGTTCTTTATAAAAATATAACCATTAACAATTGATTTTTTAAAAATGCTCTAGGTTTCGCGTATCATTTGAAAACGGACTATACATTCACAATAAATTCCAGACGGATATGATATTCTTGGGAACCTTTGACACCCAAATTGAAAACAAACAATTTTCCCATGAATTGGAGGACAAAACTTACCGGCTCAATAAACTACTAAAGGGACCCATCTTACAACTAGCCATTTTATATCCCTGGACTATCATTGTATTTATTTTAGAGTTATACAAAAATCCTATTAAGAATTAATACTGTAGTAATATTGCATTAATATAAAATAAAAATATAATAATATAAACTGATCAAACTTATAAAATGAATAAATGCTCATAAAAAATTTTAATTAACAAATAGATTGTTAATAAAGCAAAAATTATCCACAATAATAAACAATATTAATGAGACCCATTCATAAATAACGTTTTAAATTAATTTTTCTGTTTATAAACCCTGACGTAATCGATGACATACGAGGGTTGAGGCCATTTGCGGGCGTCGTCCTCCGTAATCTCCGGGGGTTCAAAGAAAGCTCCCCCGACCGCCAGATTCAGGTTAATCTGGAAGTCCTTGTCGAAGGGCTGTCCGTTTTTGGTGTACGGGTTGGGTCCCTTCCCGGAGTACATACTGCGATCGATACGCTCCCTGTGAAACACCAGGTCATCGACGTAGAAGTCGATGGACGTATTACTCCAAATGCATCCGAATGTGTGAAAGTCATCGGCGAACGAACGGTGAAAGTCACCGACGAATCCGCCGCTGGAGATGAAGTTCGGTTTCGTTCCGCCGTAATGTATGGTTGACTCTATTTTGCCGGGTCTGTCACAAAGGACGTACAGGTAATTATTGTAAAGCTTTGTGATTAGGGGTCATTCATCAAGTAACAGTACATTGTCGTAAAAGATGATTTCAATTATAAAACATAACATATTGTAAATTTATATTTATGAACGTACTGCCTGGCTGATCTCTACACATTAAGTGCATACTGATTAAGTTAGCTCGCAATAATTTATTTAAAAAAAATTTATCATTTAACAAATAAGGTACGAAAAACATTTGCACATAAAATACTGGTCCTCTGCTATTAAGGCTCTAGAGTTCAAACTATGAGTACGTACTGCTGTGAATGACCCCTTAGAATGACTACTCACTCGTCGCCCCTGAGTTCCATGATATCGATCTCACCGGAGGCGGCAAACGTCGAGCCGTACACGAAGTCATAAACTAATTATTTTAATTACATTATCATGTTCAATTTATTTGAGCAATGGCGAGTGGGTACTGGAGTGGCAGGATGAGTTTGATGGTAATACCGTAAACCTGGATAACTGGGAGTATTCCGATATGTGCGAGGGCAAAACTCCATCTCAACGTATGTTTAATTTTAAAATCAACATTTTATGCCAAAACCTTATGCTATAAACTTCATTACTAATGTTGTGCTAGATTCATTAAGTATTATTTAAGAAATTTTTTTTATAAATATATGCGTATCATTAAATTGAATTTTTAATACATTAATTAGCATGGGGTAACCACGAACTCCAGTGTTACGCCAATGACAAAAATAACGTGCGCGTGGAAAAGGGTAACCTCGTACTGACGGCTACGCCACTGAACACCCCTCAACGGGAGCACAACTATACATCGGGCAAACTGATCGGCAAAAAGGGGTTTACTTACGGCAAGTTTGAGATGAGGGGTCGGGTGCCCAAAGGCAAACACCTGTGGCCGGCCTTCTGGATGCTGCCCAAGGACTTCGTGTACGGCTCGACGTTTGCCGCCTCCGGTGAGATCGATATCATGGAACTCAGGGGCGACGAGTGAGTAGTCATTCTAGGGGGTCGTTCACAGCAGTACGTACTCATAGTTTGAACTCTAGTAGAGACTTAATCGTAGAGGACCAGTATTTTATGTGCAAATGTTTTTAGTACTTATTTGTTGAATGATTGATTTTTTAAAAATTATAGTGAGCTAACTTAATCAGTATGCATAATGTGTATTGTCTAATGTGTCAGTCAGACAGTACGTTCATATATATATATTACTATTTACAATATGTTATGTTTTATAAATGAAATGATCTCTTATGACAATGTACTGTTACTTGATGAATGACCCCTAATCACTAAGCTTTACAATAATTGCCTGTACGTCCTTTGTGACAGACCCGGAAAAATAGAGTCAACCATTCATTACGGCGGAACGAAACCGAACTTCAAATCCAGTGGCGGATACGTCGGTGACTTTTACCGTTCGTTCGCCGATGACTTTCACACATTCGGATGCATTTGGAGTAATACGTCGATTGACTTCTACGTCGACGACCTGGTGTTTCATAGGGAGCGCATCGATCGCAGTATGTACTCCGGGTCGGGACCCAACCCGTACACCAAAAACGGACAGCCCTTCGACAAGGACTTCCAGATTAACCTGAATCTGGCGGTCGGGGGAGCTTTCTTTGAACCCCCGGAGATTACGGAGGCCGACGCCCGCAAATGGCCTCAACCCTCGTATGTCATCGATTACGTCAGGGTTTATAAACAGAAAAATTAATTTAACACGTTATTTATGAATGGGTTTAATTAATATTGTTTATTATTGTGGATAATTTTTGCTTTATTAACAATCAATTTGTTAATTAAAATTTTTTATGAGCATTTATTCATTTTATAAGTTTGATCAGTTTATATTATTATATTTTTATTTTATATTAATGCAATATTACTACAGTATTAATTCTTAATGGGATTTTTGTATAACTCTAAAATAAATACAATGAGAGTCCAGGGATATAAAATGGCTAGTTGTAAGATGGGTCCCTTTAGTAGTTTATTGAGCCGGTAAGTTTTGTCCTCCAATTCATGGGAAAATTGTTTGTTTTCAATTTGGGTGTCAAAGGTCCCCAGAAATATCATATCCGTCTGGAATTTATTGTGAATGTATAGTCCGTTTTCAAATGATACGCGAAACCTAGGGCATTTTATAATTAACATATTTAGTCTGTTTTTCATAAAGGTGTTAATAATTTTTAATAAAAAAGTTTTTATATAATAAATTTTCAATTGTATACATACGCCCTGAGTATCTCACGATATTTCGAATGTTTGCGACCAATACTAAGTGCTTGCGGATCGTAATTATATTTATTTTCAGCGATATATAAACTAGGATACCGGCCCGCGTACGTGTGCCTCATATTTTGAATGACACCCTCCATATCAAATCTGATAAATATGCCTGCTGCAATACCTTTAACGAGATCTTCATCACTAAACCCATGTTGCTTGTTTAAATTATTAAAATATTCCCGATCATATTTAATCTTCTCTTCTAAAATTTTGCATATTTTCAGAGACTTAAAATATCTAAGCATGGTTAGATTAGAATGGTCAGATTTAATTCGTATATTTTTACGTTCAATTAAATCTTCAATTGAGTTTACAACAGGGTACACTTTCGTGTTAAATAGCCCGGTCATTATTTTTTGCGAAACTGAATTTGAAAGTGTCACGCACATTAAGAACCATAAAGTGAACATGATAAATAAATAGTAGCTTAATACTGGCGATTGGGTGTATTTATCTAGCTGATGATATTGTCGAGTTCGATAAATAGGTTGTTTAAATAAAGGTGATAGCACTTCTATTATTGCATGAGCCTTTGCAAGTTTAGATTTTTGAAATATTGACCAGATCATTCCCATTACGACGCACGATATTGCAATTAATAACCAAACCTAAATTGTATATTGAATTTTAAATTTAAAATAATTTAAAATGTTTTTAAAAGAAAAATACCTCAAGTTCAAACACAGATATGAAATTTAAGGAGTTTCTATTTTCGAGTAATTTAACCGTGGTCAATATTGTATAACTATAAATCCGATCCTTTGGTATGAAATCCATTAAATGTACCCATTTCCATACCATATGAAAGTTTTGTAATGAAACGCCCTTGCTTAACTACCGTAAATAAATGTTTTTAAATAAATAAAATAATTTGTTGAAAAAGGCAAATTAATAGCAACTTACCCCGTTTGGTTCATAATCAAATGGTGCTGATTTGACCAGTAATAATAACCCACATTTTAAATAAGTATAAAATGACCAATCCCAAGCAAAATATATAAAATTTGACTGTTAAATAAAAAATATTTTAGGATTATACAAATGCAAATATAATAATATTAGTTTTAATACAAATTAAGTTTTACAAAATACACATTTATTTAAATTTATTATTTATTATTTATTATTAAAATTCAACTACATTAATTGATGTATAGCTATAATTCTCATAATTCAAACACTATTATTTAAATAAATGTGTTTTGTTTTATTAAGCATTTATTACCCCTGCAAATGGCACATAATACAAGGTTATATTATCTGTAGCATTTTTGCCCGCACACGTTGATGCAGTGTTAACTGGTACAAAATGAATTGTAGTAAAAAATCTAATCCATTCGTGTAGACCCCATTTGTCGTGTAACATTTTTAAAATTAGCGTTATTTTTATTTAGAATTAAAAATAATGATTTTTAAAAATGTTGTTTCAACATATTATTTTATCTTACTGTGCTACTAACTATAAAATGGGTGCATTTATATATTATTTTTATATAACTTAATGTTGTTTAGTGCAATTAATGCAATATTGACTAAAATGTTAGGCATAAACATAGCGTGTAAACTATAACTATTTACAATTCTGAATAATTAAAGTATACTAGCCAAAAACAAGTAGTAGCAAATTTAATTAATATACAATAGCATACATGAATATAACACAATAAATAAGTAATAAAAATATTATTAACATTATTTCGTATTTATGTTATTTATTTGATATTTGTAAAATTAATTATATTTAAATTAATATCATACGCATTAAATATAACAATATTATGAAATCATTCAAAATCTACATTTTTATATTAAACGTTTTATATAAAAGTTTACTAACAATGCAAGAACGGGAAGTGATCACGCTAATTGCAATTAAAACCGAGTGAATTAAATTGTAAATAGTTATAGTTTACACGCTATGTTTATGCCTAACATTTTAGTCAATATTGCATTAATTCACTAAACAACATTAAGTTATATAAAAATATTATTAACATTATTTCGTATTTATGTTATTTATTTTATATTTGTAAAATTAATTATATTTAAATTAATATCATACGCATTAAATATAAAAATATTATGAAATCATTCAAAATCTACATTTTTATATTAAACGTTTTATATAAAAGTTTACTAAATAAATTTGTTTACGGTATTTATATACTTATGAACTTACAGATATAATATCATTTTAAAAATATTAAATGTTTTAGAAATTATTGTCTTAAAATAATACTTTATAAATAACAAATTACTATAATAAATGAACTCATATTGAATATAATGTTGTTTAATGCAATATTGACTAAACGCTAGACATAAACATACAATGTAAACTATAACCTTTTAGTATTTCATTTGTATTTTAATAAATTAAAATATAAATTCTATTAGCATTAGTACAATAAAACATTATCATATTGGTAATTTTTATTATATTCATATTATTTATTAATATAATTTATATATTAAATTTAACAATAAATACTTTATATAGTTTTTAAATAGCAGTTAAATTAACATTATGTATATGTAAAATATCTATTGTTATAATTATGGTACACAGGCTTGTCATTTATGTTAATTTGATTTGATATGCAATTCATCATGGTCTTTTCATGCACAGTCAGATTAATTTTATGTTTATGGTTTTTATCTAGTTTATATTCGCTTAATTGTTGGCTGATATTTTTATTATGTCTACTCTGATATATTTTTCTATATAAAATAGGGCAATACTCCCATAAAAATA